ATCGTCGTCTGTACCGAATTTCTGAATTGTAAACGTAACTAACTGTACAACCAACAGAAAATGCAAAACTTTTCCATTAATGGACAACCATTTTTTGTATTTCTCGCTAAGCTGTTGGTGTTTGCAACGTGCAAAATATATATCGCCGAAGAGTGCAGAGAGATTTAGTATAGGGCAAAGCGTACAATAAACGCAACTACCAGCCATTTAGCCTAAAAATTTGTGTACGTTAAGTAGTTGCTTCGTAAACTGATGCGTGTTGCTTACATTTGGTTGAAGATATAGAAAGCATTTGCATTGTATAAGATGCAGATACTTTCTGCATATTACATAAGATTTTATTCTATATATTATATATTCTGCACATTATATAAAGTGATGTATATTAATTTCTTGTGAGTTCGGTATCATATAATATCCAATAAATATATACCATTTTCTAGTTATGGACGATCGTAAAATGCTAGCGATCATATCATTCTTAATTTATATCTGGAAGAAAGTGATCGATTGATGTGCGAATCCATATATTATATTCAATTATTACTTAAAATGGAATATAATTTTTGAAAATAAATGTAAATTTTTAAAGATAGTGTTGCATTTTGTAAATTATTAGTGAAAATCTCTTATAATCTATGCAAGTCAAACAAAGAATTGTAAATGGTGATGGTGTGAACCGAGAGGGTAGAGACGTCGAATATTGCGAATGGCAACGACTGGAGAATTTGAGAGGGTTTGAGAATTGAAATTTTATCGTGATTACGATAAAAAGGTGTAGTAACGAGGTGCCTGGAGAAACTCGACGAAGACGATAGACTTTTCAGAAAAAGTACAACGTGGTATCCCTCCCAAAATTGTGAAGTCCAGCAAAACTCCGGGTATTTCACTCCTTATTCTATACTATTTTTCTGGATCCTCTTTTCTCTACTATATTTTTTCTTTCCCTAGTTTTAAGTTAGCACGTAAGTATTAGTCATAGTTTTTGGTCACTTTACATTCGTTGTGAACGGTACATTTTGTCATTGTGTACTGAATTATTATTTGACGCCGTGTTGTAAGAAATTACTGCAGAGTTGGAATCCAAAAAAACCTGTTTATGTACGCGAAATGAAATACTTTGTTTGACTATACTGTCGCTTAGTTATTGTTACGTCTTTCTTGTGTCCATCTATGTACGTTTCATGTGAACATCACAATTGCATGGTTTAGCCTTTAGATTAAAAAAGTTTATAAACGATATCTAACGAAGGGCTTGACGTGGGGTTTGCCGAATTTAATCAAACTTGGTGAGTATACAGAGCTACCTCCATGACTGTCAGGATCCAAGTATAAGGTGCAACACTGAAAATTAAAAGAGAAAATTAGTTGAAAGTAAGGCGATTCAGCAAAAAAATGACCCCACAAATTTTAATATTTTTGGGCTGAGGATACCTTAAAACGTCGAGAAATGCAAAAAAATTCGGAGTAATTTCCTTATATATGACACAATTTTGTTCACCCTGTATAAAGCTTAATTGAGAAGGCCCGTGCTTTTTGTCGAAAAATTTCTGAAATTTTGTAAAGAAGTTTGTTTATTAGGGGGATCGATGCAAATTTTAGTGATTAAAGGTCACTGGGAATCATAAGGGTCGCGCGTATCCCCAGTAGCGTCAGACTTAATAACGATTTTACCCGTTATTAGCATTTACAATTATTGTTGAAACTCATCGCTACTTTGAAAATTAACCTTTATGCCATTTAATAATAGTTTAAAAATATTAAATGTTTAGATGGCGCCACTAAATGTCAACGGAAATGTCTGGAAAATCGTTCCTGACTGTTGTAGTCGTGATATAAAATCGATCCGTTTTAAGTAACGTGTCAATGTCGAATGCAATTAAAAATGCTACCTAACAATAATTATTTAATAAAATACATAGGAACTAATAGAAGAAATGTGGCTGTTCACATCGGATTTTGAAAAGTACAGTACGTTGTTAGTTCTCTAAACTTTACGATGTTTTCCTGGTATAATATAATGAATGGTCTCTTAATGTAAACCTATCATGATACAAAAAGCAGAAACAAAATCTACGCCTGTACCAACGTTTCACTCATTTCTTTATTGCGACATCTTATGTCTTAGGGCTATTTTTTATTACTTTCCTCACTTCTAATGTAATTTTCAAATAGAAATGTCTTCAAGTAATCGGAGGGCATTCATTTGTTCTGTTGCATTCCAAATCAGCTACATGTACGAAAATACAACATGGATGTGGTTCATTTTTACAAATGCATTGTGTGCTATCTGTGTAGCCCATAAATTCAACACTTCATTCGTGCAATTACAACGCGCGATCTCGCAACCTCTGAAGGAGAATATCGACCAGTTGATTTCAAACCACACGGAACTTTGCAAATTTATCAAAAGATTTTCTGCATTTCCCTTCTCGTTAACACACAAGCTGAAGGCCAGTTGTGTTAATAGATTACTTAAGATTGCCTGATACAAAGGAATATTTACATAATAATTGTTTATTTACATGTTGAATTTTATGAAGAAATTTCGAGAAAAGAAAATTGGATTGAATTGCGGTGATTGCTAAATAGTAGCTCGTCATCAGTGACAGGGAGTTTAACTGCTGTGTTTTAAATTATTTAATACTAATAGTTTGTCGTGGATTTGCACTCACGTGTTCCGATTCCTCCTCATGCCTCAACGACTCACCTTTTATTTATCCCTTCCTCACAATTACATATCCATGTAAACATGCAGAGAAATTTATTTATAAAAATGGTCTTTTGGCCCGCTATAAAGATCCGTCTATATCTCTCTTCAGCAGTGCTGATTGTCGAGAATGATTAAAATGGCATGGCCATGTTAACAACATAAAAAAGACAGATCATTCAGATGTGCTTTTCAAACACTTTCAGAAAAGGAATCGTCATACAAGAAGATCAATGTAAGTTTGATCATAAATCCAAAAGTCGACACCAGGAGGAACTTTTACGGATCTGGCAACCTGACTAAAAACCCGACTTTTGGTTCGAATTTCATTCTGTGTACACGCTTGCCAATTCTGTGCCCACCCGAATCTATCGCATCGTAGCTCATGTAACTTAAGAAGTTAAAGATTAAGTTACTAAATCTTTTTTATATCTTGGTATTGTATCTTTCTTTAAACTCTTTTTAAATCCTTGACCTTATTTAGCAAACTCGTTATGGGTTCGGCCATACTCACAATGGGACGGCCGGGTGCCGACATATCTGGATGGACCACTCCATGGAAAATTCCTAGGAATTTATCGATCCAGTCAGGATTCGAGCCCGGGTCCCCCAGAGCGGTAGGCTGCCACTTTGACTGCTCTGCCATCCGGCCGTACCTAGTATTGTATTACAAGGTGATCACTTGCAAACTCGCGCTACAATCAAGTTAAAAATGATATAGAAAAGTTCCAGTAACGAGTTGCGTAACTTTCCCGGCCGAAGTTCAAAATTGTATATGGCGTCATCTTTATGAAGTTTTAGTTTTAAAATTTTTATTTTATTAATTACTATAAAATGGCAAAAAAAAACTTAGTTTTGAGTGTAGAAACGCGTTTTATTAAAGAAAAAAACAAACATTGTAAACGACAGTAATTGAGGAAAATCGTTATCCTACTGAAGAAATGACATGTATCTTCCAAACCATTCGACCTATAATTGCCAAAATTTAATAGTATCAAATGTCCTAATAAACAAACATCCATGCAAAATTTAAGAAATTTTCAACAAAAAACACAGGAGTTATAAAGGTTCAAATTTGGTTTTGAAAATCGTGCCCCCTCCCCACAACACTACATACAGGAAGAAAACCAAAAAAAACTTGCCTCCCGAGTTTAAAAATGAAGAAATCTTTGGGGTTCGTTTTTTATCCGATTGTCATATTTTCTTATTGTTATATGCAAAAACTGGAAAAGTAAATAAAAATGTGAAAGCCGGGACGAAACTGAAAAGAAAAACCTATCACAGGACAAAGAAAACTAGAAAAATTTATTTCGAATCTGACCTTTCGATAATACACTTGAGGAAAATGTAAAATAAATGTTCAACAACCATCTGCGACCGGCCGTACGGCCCAGTAGTCAAGGTTTCCAGGCATTTATCAAAATGGTGGTTTTCGAAATGTGTTTGAGGCCCCGTCTATCACCTCGTTACGGGCCTGACCGAACCCATAACGGGTTTGCTAAAAGAGATCCTCTTATTACCCACACAAAGGAAAGAATTTTAAAAAATAACACTCACGTGCATATATAATTATTATAATCAGCATCAGTGACCTTTCGTTGCAGGCCGCTTACGTCTTCGGCGGCGGGATGGCTGAGTTGTTAATGTAGCACCCTGCCACTCTGCAGGACCCGAGTCCAGACGGATGAAAAAAGCCAGGAATTTTTCGCTACTCGACTGCCCAATGTGGGCCTGGCCGAATCCATCTGTTCTGTTCTGTTTCATGTGCAGTTTCTAGCTATTCGCTTTTACTCCGAGAAACTGATCTATAAGGCCGGCTTTTCGGTCGCCTAGACCGAAGAGCCGGCCTTATAGAAAACGGACTAAACGTACGCGAGGGGGATAGAATGCTTTTTCGAGAGGCTTTTATGGGATGTTGGCCCCTATTCAGGCGTCATCGGCAAGGAGAAAACCCGAAAAAACTACGTGCTGGCAGCCCATCCGAGTGAGGCGAGAACCTACGACCGAACTCCCAGTGTTTAGGGTTTGGTCTCTGCCGCTACGAGCGGAGACTGAGTCCACTCGGCCATTGGTGGGCGGCTCATAATGGACCTGCAAATAAAGGCTTCAGTGTTTGCAGGCGGGCGGAAGATAGAGAATAAACTGTATTTATGTAATTTAAATAAACGAACACGTTTAATTAATCTTTAAAATTATTATTGATTGTCATTTAGTAATTTTAATTAATAAATAATAATTGTAACATAAAATGTGTTTTTAAATTTAAAAAAGAAAAAAAACATTGTGATATGAAATGACGTCATTACGAGAATTGCCAGACGACAAACGTCAAGTGACAAATACGGAAGGATGCCGCTTTATTCCAGTCCTCAAGGTAAATTAATGGAATTATTACTTAATTTGTTATTATTTCTGTCACTTAATCTTCAACAGTTATAAATAATTAACCGTGATTTATTTTAAAGACGAATCGGGTTATATTTTTACCTTGTTTCTCCATCAATTAGCCTAATTCGGGCTGTTGATTTAGGCCTAGCAAAGAGAAATGAGTCAATAATAATTAAATAATAAGTTTAAAAACAATGAAACATACTTATATTTCCATCGTTAATACAAGACATGTTAAATTTACCACAAGAATACTTTCAAATGTGCAGAAATTGTGGCACTTATTGCAATTGTTATATATGTTTTCGTCGCGGAGCGGCACATCGGATGGCGGAAGTATACGAAGTGTGTCACGTGACATTTCACGATACTATTCGGTAACGTGAGTACTCATCTCTGACGTGTTTCCTGATAATTTATTCTTTTTGCAAAACTTTGGAGACATCATGTCGTAGATCATAATATACTATAGTATTTTTTATTATAATTAGAAACAACTTACTATTATTATTGACTATATGAAGCAACAAAGGTAAAACTACTTGCTAACGACAATAGTGCTATCATGATATATATATATATATTATAATGATAAATATTAGTCAGATGCAACAAGAGATGTATAATGTCTTGATGTAAATAAATATAATTAGCATTATTATATTATATTGCATTATCATACGTTATTATATGTTGCAAAAAGAGTAAGTTATCAGGAAACATGTCAGAGATGAGTAGTCATGTGACCAAATAGCACCAACAAATGTCACGTGACGCACTTCGTACACTTTCGCCATTCAAAGTGCTGTTCCGCGACGAAAACAAGCTTAAGCAATCACGTCTCACGGGGTATGCTCAGTAAGTAGTATTCCAACAATTTTTTGTTTATAGCATATTTTATATCGATCATTTCCAACAAATTATACATCTTTTGGAATTGTTTGAACCAAATTAGTCTAGATTTGATTAATTTTATGGAAGAAAACCTCTCAAACTTCTGTACCCCCTAAACTGCATAAGTGCTGGAAATGTATCATAAGTTGGTTCTTAAGCTACAGAAGTTCATAAGTTTAAAAGCCTACCAATGGCCTAATGGATAAAACCACTGAAGGCTGGCAGTCGGCAGTAGAATTGTTGCCGCCTGGTGTTTTTCAGATTTTCTTTACGTCGAGCACCTTAATATCATTGAATGTGGGATTTGCCACCTCCCTATATGAGTAACGTGTACGGGCAATCCTTTGCAAGATATAGGTCAGTTTTTACTGTAAATTAATATAATGCCTATTTTCCTTTCTTCATAGTTTTAGGGGTGTGGGTGAGCCCCATGTAACTATATAACATTAAATACAGTAGGAACAGTCAAGTGAGCTACTAGAAAACATAGCAAATTTTAGGAGTTTTCCTTTGGTAAAGGTAAGCTTGGCACTTGGAAACAAAATGCAGAAAAGAATAATGCAGGTAAAAATTGTGTAGGTACCACTTATGTCTTGATGTAATAATTGTATTATTACATCAAGACATAAGATAATGACATACAATTGGCTTGGCACCCGCTGAGCACAAAGTAAACACATCACCAACCAAATGCATCGCCAACCGATGCGCCATTTAGAAAAATCTTTATAAAAGTTCTAATTGGCATACATTTTAGCTTTTGTTATTCTGAGTAACATTTGAATAAAATTCATTTGCTTTGATGCAATTTTATCTATAAGCATAAAATTAAGCCATAAACTTCAATTAGCTTTATGGAACTACCTATGGCTTCTGTGAACTTTGACCTATCGACCCAGAAGTTTTGCCAGCATCTCACTGATAATGAGTAAGGCTTAACTTTAAAATTTGAGCTTTCTATACCCAGTAGTCTTTTTTCTACGAGCATCTGCAGTGCCAAATAAAGAAAATACAGCTTTCTTGGCAATTTTTTCACTTTTCAGTTGCCTATATTTTGGCAGTGGCTTTATAGAACAATGTTGAAATTTTGCACACTACCTAAGAAAACAATTTTCTGTCAAACAATATATTCAGAATTACTTCAAATGTTTTGGGGTGGAGAAATCGACCCCCGAAAATCTGCAACTCTGATTCCTGTATATATAAAATGTCAGTCATTGACTTTTTTACTTATGGTCAGTCACTGCTGTGACTCAGAATGTAGTTTGTGTTATTCTTATACAGCTGATCCTTAACTTTTATACAAAACACTTTACTTCTCTTAAATCTCTTCTGCATGTCAAACTACTTTCTCCATCCTAGGGGAATAACAGCTGTTTTTATGCCCATTTTGAATTTGTTCTGAGCTACAGTTGGCTGTGTAGTGAGGAACAGGGCTTTAGCATATCTGGGATGGAACACACACAAAAAATTTCCAAGGTTGCTTTGCTGGATTTAATCCTGCATCCACAGATGTGCAATGTGCAAAATTCGCATTGTGAACAAACGGATTGTAAAGGTCAGCATTGTTACTATCATCTTGAATGATGTGACAATAGTGATTTTGATTCCTTATTTTCCACTGAATGTAAATGAAGTTGGCAGTTTATTACTTGGTGATGAAATGCTGTTGTCTGTCAAAGTGTCTGGATGCCGAAGAATAACATATTGGTATCATTTTTTGAAATACATCAAAAATTGTTTTATAATTCTATATTTTTTTACTTTTTTCTATAATTTTCGTGCATTTTGAGCCACGTTAGATTCTTATTTTTATCTATTTATGACAGATAATTTTAATTTGACAAATAAAATATTTAAAAAGCATAGTGATTTTGAGTTGTTAGCATGTAATTTTAGCATAAAACTTTCATTAGTGTGGAATTATTCATAAAAAGAAACTGTTAGAGTATTTCCATGAGTTATTTTCCCATCAATAAAACAAAGAAGTGTAATTTCAACAGTATGCTTTTTAGGAAGATCGTTTGGAAATATGTCTGTCTTGATCAGAGACTAGATAATTGTTTGTAGCATGTTTTTTAAATGCTTAAATTATCTCAAAAGAATGAATTGAAATGCATACTGTAAGTGTGCAAGATACCAACAATACATTGTTCACTTGGAACTGTGGTTGCCAAAGTAATGTGAATGCATCTTTAGGAGTAAGTCAAAAACTTATGGGTTGTGTGAAAATATTACAATTGGTTGATTGTTTTTAGTGTAAAGTGTGTTTATATTCTTAAAATAATAATACATACATACATAGAATGATTGTATAACCTTTTTTAATATTGTATTTAGGTATACAGTGTACATGCTAATTTTATTTTAAATCTAGTACTCTAAAATTTCTTAATGGAGTATGCGCTGCTTTTCTTTATCAACGAAGGAATAAATAACTAAGAATGCATGCCGACCACTGATCCTTTATACTGCTTTTCTCATCGCCTATGGCCTGAGTGGTGAACAGACATCAAAACCTACTTTAAATAGCAATGTGCTGTTTTGAAAGTTTAGCATCATGTGGATCTGATGAAGAGTGACTTGTTTGAAAACAACTAATTAGCAAAGTAACAAACAAACGTATGAGATTGTATGAGTTGTCCCTTAGATAATCTTTACAGATTATCTATGGGAGGACTCATACTCTCTACATCTGTACATTTTACACAACTCAAATTTTTTTCCTCAATGTGACTTTTGACTGATTCATATAGAGAGAGAGAGAGAGAGAGAGAGAGAGTTACAAAAAATGATTACCAGCAGAAACAATTGTTCTTTGTTCTCCTTGAGGGGATACTTTGCTGCCGGTTCATCAGTTTTGATGTGACTTATCAGTTCGTATCTACTTTTTCTGCCTCAGTGTTGTCTTCCATTTTCCTTTCAATGTGCCTGGATGATACGGCCATATTGTCACTCTCCAAAAGTGTTCCATTAACTATTCCATTAGGTATTTTCTCCTCATTCTGACTTCAATGTTTTCTCCTCCATTTTGTTTACTCTCGGCCTGACTCTGGGCTCACAATTACAGCCAATTTATGCTAATGTAATGTAGGCAATTTATCTTCTCATAGGAAGCTGCTTGATGTTTAATCAAACTGTGAAGATGTTGATAGCTTTTACTGTGCCATTTTTATTGGAGTCATAACTGTCCCACAGTAAAGTTATGATGTTATAATAATTTTTTCATATAACTACTTGCAATAAAATTATTTATATATTTACATTCTCACCTCTGAATGCTCTTGTTAATGCTTGGAATGACTCACAAGCTAAAGTGCATTATGTAAATGTCCAAATCATTGATAAATTTTGTTGTTTTGGGTGCAACAAAATGTCAGTAATAGTCATATTGTATAGACCAGCTTTAACAGATGACAGACTGATTCATATAAAAGTCAGCAAAGTAACTGATAGATAATTTACACATTTTTTTGTAAAACTTTCAAACAAATATTTGTTTAATAAACTTTAATATTTCATGAATTTTTTTCATTTTTATAAACAATTTATAGTCGTTTCAGATTCTAGACCGGAATTATATGAAGAAGTTCGATTGCACAGAACTGCAAGAGAAAGAGAAAAGTAATTTTGGATGAATTTAGAATAATTAATTAATTTTTTTTTAATTGAAATATTTTAATAGAGACTTTCATTTAGGTATGATAACATGGCCGATTTATATGCTGTCATTAACACACTTCAATGTTTAGAAAAAGCATATATTAAAGACAGTGTTACTCCAAAAGAGTGAGTACAGATATAACTTATATCTAAATATTTCTTATCTATTATTTAATTTTAATAGATTATTTTCATATTTTACATGTAAAGATATACAGCTGCATGTTCAAAACTATTAGTACAATATAAAGCAGCTTTTAAACAGGTCCAAGGAGATGAATTTCCAACTGTTGAATCATTTATGAAGAAGTTTAGGGTAATTTATATAAAATGATTTTATATTTAATAATAATAATTGCTGTCTAGAAAAGTTCTAAACTGCATAATAGTTTTGATATTCCTAATTCTAGTTGGATTGTCCTGCTGCAATGGAGCGAATCAGAGAAGATCGCCCCATTACTATCAAAGACGATAAGGGTAATACAAGTAAATGTATCGCAGATATTGTATCAGTAAGTAGTGAATTATGATTCTATATAGTACAAAATGTTGTTATGTATTATTTTATCTCTCATTTCTTGAACATCATGTTACAAGTAAGATAACTGCACCAATCCCACAATTTGCACATTAAGTTGGTTCTGCATAAAAGCAAAATTATGTAAGTTGAGACTAACAGTGCTGGATTGCTCATTAGGCATATGCTTCACATGCTTAATGAGCAATTATAATAGTAAGCAAAAGCTTACACGTTATATACTATACTACGTAATATTTCAAATATCACATTAAACCAAAACTCTATTGTATAAAATGAAGTCTTGTTTCATTTTTCTACCCACAGTAAACTGAAGTTGTTTAATTCAGGGAGTTTTGGGGATTTGATCCTATTAAATTATGTCAGTTTACATTCAAGGAAATGTTGTATGAAGTATTTTAAATTTTAACTTGTCTGTAGATTCCTACCATGATTGAATCTTTCTAGAATGTTTGGTTAATGTTAATTCTAATTTTCTCACTTTATTGCTCTATTACCAAATTAATTCTAATTAATATAAAGATCACCTGATAATTACAGTTCTATTTCATTTAATTTTGTATTCCTTAATTATATTTTGTTATTGCAAATACCAAACTGCATGAATAAAAAATGAAAGGATATGGAACTTCAGCAGTAGAATGAATCGCAGGTCTCCCACTGAGTTGATTTTGTCTCCTTTAGTCTCTGTTTTTGTTACAAGTCACTTTTAATGAGCTTTTTAGTTAAAAGTTGCTATTTTTTGCTTTGCTAATACTTCAACAAATGGCAACTTTTAAATCAAAAGCTCACTAAAAGTGACTTGTAACAAAAACAGACTCTAAAGGAGACAAAATGATTTGCTTTTTGTTGCTTTGCTTTGTTGCAATAAAAAATCATAAAATTTTACAAATTTTATGATTTTTTATTGCAATTTTCTATCCATGCATTTGTTGGAGTAAATGAAATGTGCACAGGCATGAGGTGTATCATAATAAAATCTTATAATTGAGAAAATTTAAAGACATTTTCAGAAAATTGGCAATTATAATTTACATTATTTATGTTGCAAAATATAAAAAGCACTAAAAACTTAAGCTTGTTTCCTGAATCTTGGCTACCCTGTAGAAATGTACAGTATTAGGGATCAGTCTATTTACTTAGTGAAAGGAATGAATTATTCAGAAATCTTTGATAAGGTCATTGTGCATTACCAAAATAGGGGCTCCGGAAGATTTTAAATCCTCCAGAGCCATAACTGAGTACTGCATGTAACCCTTTCAAGATATATGAAATGATCATAACTAATTTTTCATAAAGGACTTTATTATTAATTTACCATGCAATGATATTAATAATAGTAGATGTATTATGTATTCAGTATTGTGGGAAAATTTTTTAAAAAACTGCTGAATTTGACGAAATATTTTGATCGGCAAGAGGAAAATTGGTTTAGTCTATCTTGGGTCACCCTTCTTTTTTTAGCAATGCCATACCATTCACCATAGAAAGCTATTTGCTGGGTTACTTTTTCACTTACAGTCACCTTTGGACCCACCTGAATTGTAAGGACAGCCAACAATATTTAAAAAATGACTGAGTTTCTCAAGCAACTTTAATTTTGTGTATGATTGAGACTCATAACATGACCCAGATTTTATGGAATGTTTTCTCTGTTGTACGTGAGTTCTGTCATATGAAAAAGAACACGAGTTAGTTTTATAATTGGCCAGTATAAAATTAGTAAGATTCAAATAAAGCCTGATTTTTCTGTGCCTGTGTGACAATGCAGAGCTATTTGCCAACTAATACAGATGACATATAACTTTCTGGGAGATGTTTATTTTTATTGCTGTCAAAATTTTTAAATACTATATTCACCTTCGGATGCTTTTCATTTGTTGAACATTTAACATTTGGTGTGTGGAAAGACATACGTAGACTAGTCATGACTTCCAATAGGTCTTTTATAGCATTAATTATCAAAGGAGGAAAATTGATATGTATTCCAGAATGCCATATATAATGTATGTACTAAAAGGCAATAAACATAGTATGAAAAGGATTTCATGCTCTACTAAAAGTATGCACTGACAGACACTCAGAAAAAGGAGTGTTTTGTCAAATTAGCTCTAGGCATCTGTCTACAGTATCTATTCAAATCAATCACATGACCAAGCCTATATCTCCTGCCACAATATGATTATACAGTGCCCGACAATGTGCAACAATTGCCAAATTAAAGTTTATTTAAAGTAATTATTCATTATTAATCTTGATGAAATTCTCAACACATTCCATCAGGTGTTGTTCCAAAGTATATGAGTTTGGGTTAAACCAAATCACACTATCTCCTAATGTATGCCCTGGGTCCATATAAAAATATTGTGGATGATATACATAATTCTCAACTCCTTAATAAATTAATTTATATATATATATATGTATTCTATTTAACAGTCAATTGGTGATTAATGATAATTAGAATATAGTAGCTAAGGAATTTTTTTTACATTATTCAAAAGGCATTGGTAGTTTTTTTACTGGTGGGCTAGATATTAAAGAAAAGGAGAGAATAAAAATTAGTAAATTCGTGGATTGCAAAAGTTGAGAAAAAATTAAAGCAAGCTGTAAAATCAAAAGTAGGTAGTCGGTAGAATAGGTATAAGTTGCATTTGTGATATTAAAAAAGGCAACAAGTGATAGAGAAAGAGATAGTAGAGTAATTTCCAAAGATTATTGAACAGGAAAAGAATTCTCATCACAAAACTTTGTAACAAAAGATTCAAGAAATAGTTTTCACTTATCATTAAGTATATTTATTCTTTGTTTTGTAAGATATTTTCGACCCTCTTACCAAGTAAAATAGTAGATGCACATAGTTGGCGAATAAAGAGAAATTTTAGGAAGTCACACGCTGAATAAGAAGTTTCTTTTTGGGTTTTTTCAATCTCCTTTACACTATATTTTATCCTTGGGTAGTCTGCAGACTTGCTAACAGTGCCAATGTTATTTTGTGTATGTGTATATATATATATATATATATATAAACAATAAAATGTAATGGGTTTAATTCTAACTAAATTGTTTAAAAGATACTCCAAACTTGATGAAATACCTTAAAAACATCAAATAACACCTGTAATTCAGTTAATATGAATCAACTTATAACATTATAAATGTTCATAAATAACCTTTTATGCATGTGATACTGAAGATGTATCCTTCAAATTAACTGCAACACCTTTCTTAGTCACTGTAAATTTCAAGGTTTTCAAGATACTTGAGCTGTGCACAAACAGCTATCCTACTGTGTGCCTTTATAAGTTGAATATAACAGTTGGAAACATTTGTTCTTATAATAAATTGGTTCATATTAACTACATTACAGGTGTTTTTAATGCTACATCGTTTGTGTTGCAGAATATATGATTTCATTTAAAATACCGGTAGATTCGGTAATTAGGAATTTTGTTAAATCAAACTTTTCTCTGCCCCGTTTTCTTTGAGTTATTGGAGAGTCTGCTGTATAACCTTTAAAATAAAGAAAAGGAAAATATAAAGAAAGCGAGTGTAAAATATAAAATTTTGTGCCAATTAGGTTATAATTCCTTTCCAGTTTTTCCGTAATGGTTATATATTGGCACTTGTCATCCAAATTTTGGCCATTATCATGTGAAGTTTTCTGGACACAATGCCAAATAACTGGAAACCATTAGGAAGTTATGATTATAAATATTAAATGTTTTGTTTTGAGAACAATAACATTTTTATTTTTAAGAAATGTTTAATATAAAAAAAAATTGAAGGTAATTTGTCAGATTTTATTTCGCAAAGATTTCAGTTAAATATTTGCTGTTATATTAAACTAAATTTTCTGTACAAAGCAATAATGTGTATATAGGATTGCCCAAAAATCGGTTAATCAAAGTATGTTTTATTATTGGAATGGTTACGGCTGCATATTATCGTCTGTGGTTTGTCAGCAGTGTAACCGTTTTTAACAGTGCTTAAAATATATCTTGAATAAATTCACAGAATAAATGAGGAAACTTTCAACTATAAAAACATTCTGAGCTTATACAACTTACTCATTTGTCTAATTTGTCAACTAGTTCTCACTCACACTGTCATTTTTCTTACTAAGGGTTTAATCTACGTCTATACGTAGTGTTAATGCATATGACATTAGTATGTTAGATAGTGCATGCCATGCAGAATAAAAACCCATAGTAAACATTTGTCCAAAACTCAACCGTTTTCAAGATAAATGAGCAAATATTTCTTGTGACATCGTCACAATGCCAAGCTGCAATTTTTAATTTATTTAATTTAAAATATATGCTCTTTACCTCAAATTAGTGGTGTCTTGGTATTGGATGTTCGTATATAGTTAATTGAACTTCCTGTCTCTAAGCTCTCCATATGTGGTCTCAGCTTTTATCTATATAAAGCTGTTCTCAAGATTAAGAAAAGACAGACAGATGACAGTGGGAATTTATAGGTCTACAATTTATTCAAATTGCAGCCCAATAATTGACAAAGACCTGGTGTTTTTGAGATAGTGTTAGTGTATAAAATGATGGTGGCAAGTGTGCATGGAAACAAAAGGAAGACAAGGAGAACACCTGTGAATACCAAGATAAAAATTTGCAAGATTAGCTCTGTTGTCATGTTGCATGTGACACACAGAAGACAATACATTAGTAGTGATACTATTGTACAAGATTATCACAACTAACTTAAGGTTAATCACAATCCAAATAGATTAAAACTCTAGTTGGAACTGGAAACCCATATGAAAGTCCATTTTTATATCTCTCTGCCACTATGTTTTTGTTCCCTGTGTTCAGCTGATCCTCTTGGTGAGAAGTTGTCTACCACCACATCATTAAAAAGGAGGGCATTTATGTATTGTACCAATATGCTTGACACATAAAGGGAACTTAATTCTGTCAGGAAGGTGGTGCTACAACATGTAGAAAGAACATTAATAAACAATTTAATAAATACCTTTGAAATATTCAAGATGGTGAAAGGATAGCCTATGAGTAAAAGGAGGTTAACATTGAAATATTTTCCTGCCTTGTGTACAAGAGTGATTCAAAAAGTAAGGTAAAAAGAGCTCTCCTGTACAAATTTTATTTCACAGGCAGATATAGTGATACAGATTATTATGGCATTGGTACTGTACATATTATTTTTCAACATAATCACTATGCTTGTCCAAACATTTATTCCAACGATATACTAAGGCAAAGAAGAAATCTGCATCAACTCCCTTCAGCCACATCATGATGGCTTTCTGAACTTCCATATTGATTTGGAATTGTCTGCCACCCAGATTCTTCTTCAATGGTCCAAAGAGATGGAAATCACAGCGTACCAGGTTGGGCTATAGGGAGGATGTTCCAGTACCTTCCACTTGAAGCGCCATAACAATTCAGTTTGCTAAGTTTGCACACCTCTCCTGCCTTTATCAAACTCGGTGCACCAAACCCACATCTGTTTTTCTGACATGACATTACCACCGTACACCTCAACAAGTTGATGACAAATTTCTGCTGGTGAGTTGCCCTTCAGACTGAATCATACTACGCACTTCCACATTTGACCATATTTCCGTAAGCACAGCCATTTTCAAAATGATATTGCAAGAGTCTGATGCAACATTTGCACCATCTAACGCCTGTACGATAAAGCTATGGTCTTTTGCTGCTGCCCTAATGGGAAATTTGAACAAGAGGAGGAATATGACACCCATGAAAGCTCTTGTTACCTTACTTTTTGAATCACCCTCTTATATGATACATAAAGCAATTGCAAACCACAACAAACTGATCCTAGCTTTTAAGTGCATCCCAACTTCTATGCAACAACAAAAGTCCACAGGGTCTTTCCAGTTCCTTTGGTGTTTATCTGTGTACATACAACACCATCATTTTAACACAAATATGTCACTACAACCAAGCAGAACATCGACAGTAGAATTAAGGAGCATAAACAGGCAACAAATAAAGGTGTAAGCAGCACTATTCTGTTGACTTTCGCTAATGGAGCCAACATGGAAGTCATTTGAGATTTACGAGATTGTTAGACCTATGAATAATTGAAAATCCTAGAAGTTTACAAAGCAAATAGAGGCCATGAGTGTGTTAACTGTTGAGACGCAAACTCATCCAGTGCATGGAAATTGTTGTATGAAATAAAAAACTGCCACTTAAACTGGTTAATTTTCTCAATGTTGACTCCTTCCCCACAGCACACGTGTTTGGCAATCCCCTGTTTGTTTCAGCATTTGGAGATTAGTTTGCCTTCAACGGGTGAAACAGGGCAAAAAACAATCCTCTCAGAATTTTATATTTAGACTTGGAGACTTTGAAACATTAAGAAATGCGAAACGTTTGGGGTTTTCTGTATATATGGATGTTAATGTGGGGGATGATTTTGTTCACCTACTGTGAAGCTTAATAACGCAAGTGTCTTTTGTTGCAAATTTCCGAAAAGTTATAGGAAGATTTGTTAATTGGGTGGATTAATGCTATTAAATTTTGGTGGTTAAAAGTGGAGGGATGGGTGTCGTGTCATGTCTGGAGTAGGGTCAGACTTAATAAAGGTTTTACTCGTTATTACCATTTACAATTTTTTATAAAATTCATCACTACCTTCAAAATAACATGATTTATTTTATTTTTCTTTTGTTTGTAAATGGACTTTGGGCAATATTAATGTATTATTATTTTCTTTCTAGCTTTTTATAACTATAATAGATAAACTGAGATTGGAGATAAGAGCTATGGACGAGGTGAGAAATGAAACTTTTAATTCGATTCTCCAACACAAAATTTTATAACTTGCAGTTTTGTAAAATTTCAGCTTCAACCCGATTTGAAAGAATTAAATGAAACGATGAGTAGATTAAGCTTGATAAAGGAAGACTTTGAAGGAAGAGTTAAAGTCACCGAATGGTAAAATTTATTCATTTATATTATAAAACTATCAGTTTTGCACATAATATTAATTATCGTTACATATGCAGGTTGAAAACTATGTCTTCGATGACTGCATCGGATCAGCTGAATGAAAGTCAAGTGCGGCAGCTGATTTTTGATTTGGAATCCTCTTACAATGCCTTCAATCGACTTCTCCATGAGAGTTAAAGCAATGTATTTTTTTTTTTTTTTTTATTAATCACACAAATTTATAAAATTTAATTACAAACTTACACTTATTTCTAATTCTATTCAAGAACTTTAATGTTAAATTGCTGACATCCACGTATTTGTCGAGCAGTTCGAACATGTATATAATCAGTACAAGATTGATTAAAATTATGTAAATATTGTCTAAAAATTATTAGTGTTCTTATATACTTTTTAGGAAGAATGACAGAAAATAGTCCATATATACTCAGACATTGATATGAAGGATATTTTTAATCGTGCTACTGGCTGACAGAGTTGTCAGTTTTTACGATTTGTGGGAACTCTTTGACATTAATTTTGCATACAGGAAGTACTAAATTTCTGAATACAATTCAAATAAATTATGTGCGTGGATCAGTAAGTAACCATCCAAAATGCAGAATAAAACATTTTGTTTTAACTGTAATTGCCTTGGTTATTCTCACACTTATCCAGCTGTGACATGAGCAAATTCATTTTTGTTTGAGGAATATAGCAGGGTTGATACTGGCACAGCCAGTCATGAACCACAGCTTGCACTTTGGCATCCGAGGAAAATTTCCTGCAATTAAGTGCTTTTTTTGGTTCTCCAGAAACAGGAAAGTCACAGACGAGACTATAGAGGGGTTGCCAGAACATACCACCATCCAAACTGTAGCAGATAATTGTTCTGACCATTTGGTTTGCTCTTTGTCAAGAGAATTTGGGGACTTGGCGTGCACATCAAAACAGTCCTGATGTGGCTGCAACATCAGGGTTTTATCCATCTGTTTGTGAGCGCGAGGTCTTCCACCGTACGCTGTGATGTTGCTCATCTTTCACGTTTGTCAGTTCTTCCTAAAACTTTTTTCCCACCTTAACCTTGGCAAGAAAGTGTGCGATCACATACCTGTTGCTTTTACCAACAAATTGCAGTGGGCCCATGACCTTCAATGACTTTGGTCAAATTTAAGTTATGGTTTAATAAGGGAGCCTACTCATCCGGTCAACCCAATCATCCGGTGCTCTTATTTTGTCATAAAGTTAGAGCACTGGATGATCAGTTAGTTAAGATGTCAGCCTGACACTGGGGAAATGATCGAATCCAGGTGAGCAACACCCAGGAATTTTTCAGTAGAGGCCCAGTCAAACACAATGCATACGATTAAATGGCGCTATTAGTACCCATGGGGGCAGAAAGAATGAAAGTAGCCAAATTTTTCTGCATGGATTGTCACAGAGGATATTGGCATGATCCGAGTAACTGGTCTCCGGTCGACGGTAATATTGAAACTTCACTAAAACAAACCAAAATTAACCAAAGACAGATGCTCCCTACAGACTTCACAACTGCTTACATAATACTTTACACAAGAAACAGACAAATAGCTTAAATCTTCTTAAAAAATCTTTATTTAAAGTATAAAATTAGCATATTTTAAAGATGAAATTGTGCAAAAAACAAAACAAATACTATAAGCTGTATCATTTCCAGATGTGCAAACTTAATATTGAGAGCGCGATTAAAATGGCTAACATCCATCACATAATTACTTTAAAGTGATGTTACGCAGACAACTGAACTGTGACTGAATTGTTAAGAGAATTCCATCTGTAAAACTTACTATGCATTCGCACTCTTGAGAATTACAAGAATTAATACAGCATTAGTAATTGATAAATATGAAATTTAGCAAGGAAAAACTGTTCTTTCATTAATAAATGAATTCAATTGAAGTAAGTCGAGTCCAAATTATGTTTAATTTATAAAAAAATACGTTCGAAAATAGAATACTGCAGGCATTTATACCTAATAAGCCGCCATCTTGTTATGTATGAAGACGTCACTTCCGGCTTATCATTAAGTTTCATATGTAAGCAATTACTCAAGATGGCGCTTATATGACGTATTTGAAATGGCGGCCAAATGTCTATGAACTAACGTCGAACAATAACGTTTAATGGGCGAATAATTTTTCGATATTTCAAAAACTTTGTATTAATCTGTGATTAATTTATCATTCAGATTATTAAAGTAAAATTATTTAAGCTAAAAAAAAAAACCACTAAATTAAAATATCCTCTTCGTTTTTAAATAACTCGACGGAAGATGGCGTAAATAAAAATGGCGGATTTTACGCCACCTTCAAAAACGCCAGTATCGTATTTACAATATGTATTTAAGTGGAAACGCATTAAATTTACTAAAAATTATTAACTGCTCTTTTCTAAATGTCTAAATTTTAAAATGTTTCACAGTAAGGGATTTTATTTAATAAAAGAAAGCACTTAAATGAATCGGTAATAAAATACAATATTTGTTTTAAAATTTTTTAATTTTTTTTTTATTTTTAAGAAAATTCAAACTTTATGAAGCCTTCAACTACGTTATTATTATTATATATTATCAGGGTAAATGGTACATTTAAAGAAATTAAATGGTGGCGTAATTGAGGATTAACTCCGATTCGTTCCGCTAGGAGGTTATTTTTATAATTAAATTTATTCATTCATGTTTAAATTTTACAAAATGACTAATAATTTTATAAATCATTAATTAAGAAATAATAATAATAAATTTCTATTAAAGTATTTAATATATTAAAATATAAAACTAATGCAAACACGTTTCGCCCTCTATCGGAATTTTCATAAAATCGAGAGATTTAAAAATAATAATAATAATAATGGTAAAATCACTTTAAATATCATTTATTAAGCGAATTTATTAAAACGTAATAATTGCAATTTAATGAGTTAAGCAGATTTCTAAAGGGTTTCTAGTAAATTTACGATTTATCATCATGCTCATACTCCTACTCGGTTGAAGTCGATAAAAATCGATTATCTGAGAGGAGAATGTGGTCAGATGCTCGATAGATGCAGAACGAAGCTTTCTCCTTGACGCGGTCGAAACATACAGTGAAGAGCTCTGTACAGGAGAGAATTAAGTTGTCTTTCCTTCAATCGTTTTTTCCGGAAATGACCGAATCTTTCCGAATAGAAAAGACTAGCCTCGTCTGCGGCAATTGACAGAAGCGGGTTGGATGCGCATTACCGCTGTTGGTATGTCATGGAGCCTTTCTGTGTGACGTCTCCTCTTGAAACTCTGCCAAATTCCTCGTAGAGTTCATCACGTGCAGTCGAACTACAGACAACAACAGTCGCAAATGGTTTAATTAAGTATATACGATATTTGGTAGAAGGATGGGAATATGAACAGTACACGGTCACATTGTGCAGCGAAAGATGCTGCGAGTTACCTTCACCCATGGTGAGTATCTTTCCAACCCAATTGCTTCGGCCATATATATCCGTATTATTCCTGTACTTTGATGATACTCGTTTAAGAAACTTTACTTTATAATATTAATAATAATACGTAAACAACTAAGCGTTATAAGCATTATCTTAAAGGTAATGACGTCAAGTATAATAATAGTTTTATATGTTTGTGTGTATAAATATACACATTAGTGGATCTTTATTTTAAAATTCGATAATGCTTTTATCTATAAGATAAGCTTTAAATATTTTATTATTAAATATTTATATATAAAATTAAAAAGTTTGTATATCATAATGGAAAACATTTGAATAAAAAATAAATTTTTTTTCTTATTTTTTTTTTGGTAATCTAAATCAAAGCTCCCCTAACGGCGAATGGATCCTGCTACGGTCGTTATGACAACCGTTGTTGTTGTTACGCGGGCTTTCAAATAAAATTGTATCTGTGGGATTTAATTAATATCGTAATATTTTGACGAATGGGTAGACATTTTTAAAAATTTTAACACTGTTTTTTTATTTAAAATATTTATTTATATAATATCAAAATTAAGAACAGAATTAATAAAAAAAAATTTCCCACTTTATTTTGATATCGATGAATGTTTCGTTGCCCATTGCAAACAAAACAAAAGGGTAATCGATGTTTATTCTTTTTTTTTAATTAAATTAATACAAACAAACTGCTTAATGTCTTTCTTAAATTATTACTTCTAACAATTATTAAGTCATTTATTATTATTTTAAATAACGTTTACTCTTATCTTTCGGCAAATGGTGGACGAATATAAATTTAAAATAGCCTTTTATTTAATTTTTCAATTGTATTTTATTATTACGAGTAACGTAGAAAGAATTATTCCCTGAAAGAAAATTGGAAATAATTTACAATTCGATCGTCAAATATTTTAAATTCCGATAATAGAGTGGCAATCGTTTGGCTACATTCATCTTTAAGTGCTGCCAGCTATTGCATTTAAATCAAATATTTGAATTTAAGCATTTCAAACTCATAATGCGTTTTGCCTACGGTTACAAAAGGGAATAACTGCTAATGGATGCGATCCATTATGTTATCAGGCAAAACCGTATCCTCTACTGCAATTAATAAGATATACACTCGTTGGTTGTCGCGATAAATTATGTTTATCAAATGAATAGATTACCTGGCATGGATACTAAGTATAAGGAGAGCGGAAGGATCATAATTCTCTATTATGAAAGATTGGAAAAAATATATATATATATTTAGTAACAATTTAACAAAATGATGAAAATTAATAAACCAAGCTCATAAAATTTTCAAATTTTAAGTACGTGGCTTCGGATTTTTAATTATGAATCGCAATTGAGCCGTTCGGCCGCCATTTTTTAATTGCGAATTGTAACACGAATAAATTGTGATTCTTTCAGAAAATATAACATTTATTACGGAAGAATGATGTCATTTTTTAATTATAAGTATTTTTTAAACGAATTTATTCAAAAATTTTACTGGTACAACCTTTGTTTTTTCAAAGAAATAGCCGAGAATGTTATGAATCGTTGGCTCTTATACGGCACTTGTAAGGTCGATTTTCATGAATAACTGGACGAGTCAATGACACAGAGTAGTTTTTTTAGATGGCTCGTGAAGGTTAAAAACCCAACATTTAACTCTTAAAGTATCATTTTCGAGTCGCGTTTATGTTATTCATAACGTAAATTTCCGTTAATTAAAACGTTATAGCGTGATGAAAAGGGCTCGCGTGGAAATTAAACAAAATTTATATCGAAGTAATTTATTCTAGAGTCATTTACATTGTTTTAGATCATAACAAATAAACTATTGGTTAATTTGAAAATTCAAAATCCGTAAATGACCGATGATTGGTTAGCCAGAAAACTTAAAATTCGTTATTAAAAAACTATTGGTTAATTATAAAATTCAAAATCCGTAAATGACCGACGATTGGTTAGCCAGAAAACTTAAAATTCGTTATTAACAAACTATTGGTTAATTTGAAATTTTAAAATTACTTATCAGCAGATGATTGGTCAATTAGAACATTTAAAATTACTTATCAACAGATGATTGGTTAATTGAAAATTCAAAAATTGCTTACTGAAAAGCGTTTGAATTAGCTATAAAATTTAAAATTTCTTATTATAAGACAATTGATTAGCCAAAAAAAAAAAAATTCAAAATTTAGTTGCTTAGAAACGATTGGTTAAAATTTAAAATTCAAAAATTGAATTCAATAATACATGAGTATGGAGAATTTTAAGCAGGTGTAAAGCTTACTTAAGCTATTTAATTTTCTTCTTTTTTTTTAAATTTTTCAGAAGAGATATCATCGTTAATAAGATATACAAACAAAACAGAGCTGAGTGATCTCATGACACTCTTTTCCTATGGGATGGCATCTAAATATAGTAAGCAGCACGTGTATAGTTTTAATGCAGAGGCGGTAATTTCATCACAAAATGAATGAAACGTTTCATTCATAAAACATGTTATTTTTTCAATTATTTCATGTAATATTTTTAATAAAATTCCACAGAAATATCTTTTTAAAATTAAAAAAATATATTAAATTGAAGATTTAAATCTTTAAATAAAAATCAGTTTGAATATTCATTTAACGCAGTGTTTTATAATTTATAATCGTCGTCAGAAGGATTTTTTTAATGTGAAAAATGGTAATTTATAATTATAAAAAAAAGAAGATAATTTTTCCATATTATTCAATTTTTAATTTAGGGAGAGAGAAATTATCTATGAAAATTTCAATTTCACTTCATTAATAATTACATTTTTCCGTGTTTTTTTTAATCTAAAATTTGAGAAATTTTAATGCTGTCGAACCTCTTAACAACGGACACTGGCGGGGAACGTAGAGTGGCCGCTGTTGGGAGGTGAGCGTTGTTATGTATGCACTTTTCTTCGAAAACTTCCCGAAAAATGGCCGTCGTTTGGAGGTGGCATTTATTACAGGTTCCAGTCTATACGTTCTAAAACTGTATATTGATTCGTAACGTTTTTTTACTAATAATTTTCTGTCTTTTTGCTGAAATAAATCTATACAATGCACGTATAAAGACAGGGAAGTTCCCTGACTTTCAACGAATACAAGTCACTTTGTGCTGAATATTGTTAGAAAAGATAGCTTTAGAGGACGAAAAATGTTCAAATTTATTGTTTAATTGTGTTAAAATTACGAATAGAATACCTCTAAGCCCTTCTATTACGGGGCATATCTACAAGTGTAGAGATAAACGAGGAAGAAGCTTTCTGGAAAGCTGGAAAAAAATGGGTTATTTAGTGAAAGTGGCATAGGAAATGTGTTAAAAAATATATAATAATTCATCCTCGTGCAATGTTCTTTTCTAAATTCGATAAATTATTTAAATAATAACTTTCAATTAATGTCAAAATCCTCCAAAGAACCTTAAGATTTTCCGGAACAGAAACGTTTCACTGGCAGCTCCATCCCATTTGCAGATAATAAATTATCCTGACGTCCCCTTGTTACGAATGTAAATGAGTTCTACATTATTTAAATTACCAACGAATATTTCATGAAATATCCTTCTCCTTGTTATCAGATTTTGAATTGTACACAAGAAAAAAGAAATCACATTTCATTCATAAAATTAGAAGTTTCTGTTACATAATTCATGCTAAATTCTAGGGAAAAAACGCAGAAAATTCTATTTTATTATCGATTAAAGTTTATTTTACGCCACTAAAAATAATTTTTGAATTTTAAATAAACCGTTTTTTCCCCTTTTCTATAATTATAGTTAAGATGTAGTTTTCACTCAACCGTTTTTTTTTTATTTTTTTTTTCTAGGTTTCGTTTTATGTTGTAGATTGCTTACTCTAGAATTATTGGCATCTATGGAATGTACAACGCTATTTTCTATTGTTAACGCGGTTAGAAATGGATCTATTTCATTCTGTTGTATATCTTACAAGCTTATAAATGGTTTTATTGAACTTCGTATCTCGTTTTCTATAATATTACGTGGATTATTCCAGAATTATTTAGCATCTGTGAAATGTGTTACGTTATTTTCGTCGTTAACATAATATAGAAAGCTCCTTGTTATCCTTCAATGACTCATTTTCATCCCTCAAACAACGCATATGAGAGGTTTTTATCTAACACAGTGGTTAGCTTATTCTAGAATTTGTAGCACGTAAAGAATGTGCCATATTGTTCTTCTTGTTAACACTGGGAAAATGGATCTGTATCGTTAACTGTAACTGTTATAAGTTTATTATTGGTGTTACTCACCAGAAGCTCACATTCGTGCACTAAATAATACGTTGTAATGGTGTAAGTTGACTTTATCTAGTATTTTATGTAGATTATTCTAGAATTGTTTAGCATGTGCGGAATGCGTTACGTTATTTTCGTCGTTAATACGGTATAGAAAGATCCTTTCTGCTCCGTTATCCTTCAATGGCTCATTTTCTCTCCTCAAACAACGCGTGTAAGAAAGATTTTATCTAGTACTATGGAATAGCTTATTCTAGAATTTGTGGAATGTAAGGAATGTACCATATTGTTTTCTTTATTAATACTGTTACAAATGAATCTATATCGTTCATTGTCACTTAGAAGCGTGACGAAGCTCATTTTGATCCATTAAACAGATGGGTAAATTGGTTTAATCTGGCATTTTTTATAACAATCTAGAATTATTTAGCATCTACGAAATGCGTTACGCCATTTTTATTGTTAACACTGTGTTAAAATCTTATTAAATTAGTGATTTTACTCTTCAATGGATCACCTTCATGTACTAAGCTACACTTTCTAATAGTAATGATGTAAGATGATTTAATCTAGTATTGTAGATAGCTTATTCTAGAATTTGTGGTATGTAAGGAATGTGCCATATTATTTTCTAATGGATATTATTTTTTTTAAATTGTTACAGTGGATTATTTCCATGAATTAAATTATACTTTCCGATGTAAGATAATTTTATCTA